CACTCACTAAAATCAAACAGTTTTCATTTCTCATATCCCTAAAAATGGTGCCCTGTGTGTAATAAAAGAGATGAAGTTCATGAAATCAGGTACTTAATTTTTTTAAGTAATAAGGTGTAACTGTGTTTGAAATGTAGATACAAACTGATTTTAAACTATATTTTTCTGTTTAGCAATTAAGTAGAAGTAAATCAAGCAACTGATGATTCCAAACCAAGCAAAATTACTGACTATAAGCCTTTTGCCTGGATAACATCTGCAAACAACATAAATTTTTAATAACCGCTACCAGCAACAAGCATCATACAAGCTGTGCAAAGGTAATTCTATTCTGGTGATCTGCTGTGAGAAACAGATTGCATTGAGCAACATACACAAAACATTGATTAAACAATATGGAGGAACTAATTTTAAAACAGCAATCACATGGAATGAGACATTATTTCTTCAAATGTAATCAGTACTAACATTTATAATTCTATAATACAAGCCTTATTAATTCAAACAAGATTTAGGCAATCAGCAACCCTTAAACAGCAAAACAGTGAACATGCAGGCATCACTGATTAATTAATTATTTCACTGAATCATTCCTTGGTGACAGACATATACAATTCAAAGCTACAACTATAATAAAATATAGATACAGGAAAATAAAGCAGCAAAAAAGAAACTGAAGTATAACAATAAAACAATAAATAAAAACACAAATCCATACTGCACGTGAAGCAACATCCATACTGCTGCACATGAAGCTGAAAACTTGGAAGCTGGCAGCACACTCCAATTGCAATTACCTTCAATGCTTTTTCATCTGGCCTGGTTGGATAACTGAAATGAACTTGTCTGAACTGCAGGAGCCCATTCAAGTGGGCAGGTGCACATGTGCCATCATTTATAACTTCAGGTTTGCGGTCCATATACTCAAATACTTTATGAGAAGCACCCACAGCTTGCATCAAAGATGTGAAAACATTTCCTATAGACTGAAAAAGAGAACAGATTAAAACTTGTACATGTATCAGTTCATTTACCTTCAATGCAGGCTCATCTGGTCTAGCAGGATATGTAAATGTGGCCTGACAAAACTCAATATGACCATCAAGTTGGCCTGGAATATGTGAGCCATCATTCTGGATTTTAGGTTCACGATACATGTATTCCATCACTTTCTCTGATGCACCAACTGCCTGCATTAGACCAGTGAATACTTCACCCATTTCCTGTGGTAGAATCAGTCAATGCAAGTACAAATACATTGAGAAACATAGCAATCGAAAATAGAAGTCTAACATGTGTCTGTACTTGAGTGGGCAAGGAAGTGTATTTGTGCTTTACATGTATTTTACAATGTTTAATAAAAATCTGATTATTAATTGCCCCTTTCCCCTCCCGTCATTTATCGAAGATGTTATAAATCAGCCATTATAAAAACGTACAATGGTGTCTTACCTCAAAGCAGTCACCAAGCTCCAGCTGATACAAGATGAAGGACACCAAGTTGCCACCAGTCATGGTTTTATTCAGGACAAGATGACCACCATAGTAAAGGGTAGCTACAGTCAAAGACAGTTCAAAGACCTGAAGATTAGAAGGGAATAATTAGAGATAGATATGTATGTGTATGTGTCACTATTTTGGGTATTCATTACTGAGATTAACATGCAAATGATGTGATTTATCAATAAAGTTAACTAAAATGAAATTCTTTAAAAAAAAAATTAAATTAAAAAAAATAAATATAAATAAAAAAATATAAATAAATAAATAAATAAATAAATAAATATATATATATATATATATATATATATATATATATATATATATATATATCAAGCCGAGCTTAAAACACTTATTGATGCTTAAATCATTCAGAGCCCCCATTAATGTTTTACTTCATCATGTGCAGATCAATCGCTTCATGAGGTGGATCAGGGGCAGATTGAGACCGTCTTCTGGGTCTTCCGGAAGACGGTCAGATTTTAAAGTTTACGTTGATGGGTATCTATTTTTTGTCGGAAGACGGACAAAAATGGAGGATGGATCAACAAAGATAATTTGGAAGACTGTCAGAATATATCTCTGCATCCGCCCCTGTGGATATATGTATATCAAGTACCAATTGCATAACATTCATCCTACCTCATTGCACCACATAAAAGCACCATAAGCCAGAGCCTCCTTTTTGTACAACTTGTAGGAATCCTGAAGTTTGTCTTTGTATCTTTGGACCTCTGCAGTCTCGTTTGCAAAGCTGCGAACTGTCTTCATTGATGAACATGTCTCTTCAGCCACGTTGTTGGCAATGGCTAGAGTGTCCTGGATTTCCTTTGACAGTTTCTGAAAAAAGAGAAAAAAAGGGCTGCATTATATGATTTGAATACTGAACAATTCCTGACCCATGTGACATTCTTTTGAGAGTAACCAAAAGGAATATAATCTCATGAAATGACTGTACACAATAGGGCTGCGTTCACATGAAAAATCCATTTTCTAAAAAGCTATTTGCGGTATCTTGTGATCATGGTCTGTACCCTGAATACCCCGCAGCGTAATTACTGGCAGCGCCAAGAATTAATTACAGCTTTGGAAGTAACTGGCTCGCGCTGCCTGTAATTACGCCATGGGGTATTCAGGGCACAGACCGTGATCACAAGATACCGCATATAGATTTTTAGAAAATAGATTTTTCATGTGAACGCAGCCTAGGTCGGCCCAATAATCTAAATGCACATACCCGGTATATATAAAAGCCAAAATTAACAACTCCCAGCATCCTGCATTTAGATTTTTGGGGCAACCTATTCTGAAATAAAAAAAAACACACACACACACACACACACACACACACACACACACACACACACACACACAGACAGAGAGAGAGCCAGGCCAATTTTACAAAACTGACCTGTATTTTAGCCATTCATTTGACCCAAGCAATCCTAAATGAAACTTAACAGTCATTCAGACAGGCCTCTATCAAGGTTGTAATATAGTACTACTGTAGAATTTTGGAAATTATTCCCCATTAGATATAGATATAATGTAAAATAGATTTTCTGACTTCAAACAAAACGAGAAATGTGGAAGACTTTTTATGATGTATATCTATCTTGGTGTTTGATTTATGCAAAGCCAAGACAGTACCTGTAAAATGATAAATTAAAATATCCAGTGTTATCAGTATATAACATCTAGGTTTTTACCTCATAGTATTCGCCATAAAGGGTGGAGAAACCAATGATGATAGGGAGACCAATGAACGTCACTAAGGTAAGCTGCCAAGACAACTTAAACATAAAAACACAGGTTCCAACTGGAAATGAGAGAAAAAAATATATTACTTTGTATTTATTCACCTGCCACAATTTCTTTATTTACAGGCACAAATAGGCTGTGTAATTTTATCAATAAATGAATAACAACACATTAAAAAATAAGCATATAAATACTCCTAAGGGGGTAATAAAATACATATGATTTTAGTCATCAATGGTTCTCTTTCAAAGACAGACATATAATAAGTCAAAATGAGTAAAACAAATCACAGCTGGGAAAGGCTATGGGATACAAATTATTTTGCATTTTCCAGTTTACTTGTATATGTATAGTGACCTCAAAATAGATCATCTATGCAAATATCAGACCTAGAAACAGTTTGCACTACTGAACCTCTGGGGCTAGATAAGAAAGTAGTAAATAGAGAATGCAAGTTTTATAGGTCACAAACCGCCCACTACAACATGGCTACTACCAGTGACACCACTCCTTCTAAAAGATATGGCTCAGTTATCAAGCTGAAGCCTGAGTGTTATGCCAAATATAAGGAACTTCATGCCAAAGTCTGGCCTGAGGTAAGATGCTTTTGAGATGAGGACAATAGCTCTTAACACAACAGAATATACTGAATTGCCTTAAGACTTGTAGACTGCCTTGTCTTTACCTGTAGTGCATTTACCATGAATCAGAAGTGCTCTAAAAACTGGGTTAATAACAACAGTTAAAGTCCAGGCCTTAACGCCTTTACTCAAAAGCATATATGTTTTATATAAGCCGTAAATGCCTCAGTGCATATATGTTTTATATAAGCCGTAAATGCCTCAGTGCCTGTTGCTTAACATTATTCATACATGCATTAATTTCCAATTAAAAACAGTTGGTTACTCAATATATTATTAACCAAATACTTAGAAAGTAAATTCTTCTGCATGTGATTCAGTGAATTGCCCATCATAATCATTTTTTTACAACAAATTATTACTTTTTTCTCCAAAATATACAAACTGGTCAATTTAATGCTTTGACTTTATACATGTACATGTAGTTCTCAAGCTTCTCTTCTAATTGACATACATGTCACGCAGAAATGCAGATACAGAGGGAGACGTAAAGAAAAACTAGATTAAAAAGATGGGTGTTCTTGCTGGATGAGTTAACAGGCTATGTATTATGTCCTCAGGTACTGGACAGGCTGACTAAGAGCAATATTCGAAATTACTCCATTTATTTTCACAAGGAGACTGGTCTCCTCTTTGCTTACCTGGAGTATATTGGTATGTATAACCTGCCACATTCTCACTAACAAATATCAATCTTCAATCTTTTAAATTTTCACCATTTTCTGACATAAATCTAAGTCTATTTTTTTCAAGAAAATGATTGCCTTTGTATAAATTTAATGAAAGATTTTCAGGACCACACAGTCTTACATGTATCTCATACTACAGGGTGCAAGATTAAACATAACTTCAAAAACACTCATACATTTGGTGCTCAATTTAATTCATTAGGAAAAAACTTTGAGGCAGACTGGCAAGCCATTGCAGATGACCCCAAGACAAAGGAATGGTGGAAGATAAATTGTCCCCTTCAGGAGCCTTTCAACTGGACAGATCCCAAGCCACTGTATGAGGGGGGTAAGGGGGACTGGTTCACACCAATGGAGGAATTGTTCCACGATGGCCACTCTGCAGTAAAATTCCTATAAATTGGATCATGCCTGCATTTATTATCACTTATAAATACAAAATTTATAAACTGACCCAAACCTTCAAGACATTTTCATCTTTGGTCACACTGTATTTAGTATCTCAGTTCAATGACTGATCATGAACATGGTGAAATTCATATTTCACATAACCTCACATGAGACACATAAACTTACTAGCTTTCACTAGACTTCTAAGGAATATGTTGATGTTCAATCCTACTGACTCACTCATGGTTGTGGCATCAGATGTTAATCTGGAGGTGATTTCACCTGGAATAAATGATAAAAGAACAACATTGGTATTTCTTTTAATCAAGCTGACATCATGCTGAAATTTAACAAATAACGCACAACAAATAAACCAAACTTGGGTTCACTGTTTTTAAAAAAGCAAGAAACAACTGAATATGTATGCCAACTTGAAATTAAATTCTGTAAACAGTTCAGTTACAAAAAGCTGTAAATAGCTTTTTCACCATTTTTTTTTTACATTTAACCATTCTTTGCCAACTTGTGCAACTGCAATAGATATCAATGGCTGAATAACTGTAGTTGGGGCCTGGGGGAGGGGGGGGGGGGGCAGAAGGGCAAATGTGTAACCTTACCGGTTTGTATCTTATCAAAGAAGCCAGTCTCCTGCTTCATGATGGCACCAAACAGCAAGTTTCGCACCCTGAGCCCAAGTCTGTTCATGGCAAGTAAAAGCAGACATCCTCTCGACCCTGCTGCAAAACCACTGGAACAGCACAAGAAGTGGAATTAATTATTTTTATGTGACATTAATAAAAATATCTTCCAATCTGATATCTTGCTCCAAACTGAAGTTTAGTCTATATCACATCAAGTAGCTCCGTTTATAATATTTTTTTAAAGTCTGCAACATAAAGAAATGCTACATTAACTTTGAAAAAACTTGTACTTCACAAGGAAGGTCACTGTGTCAAATAACTGCGTCTATATCAAATTGTTAACTTACGCTGTTAGTGATATTGCTGACATTATAATGATGGCATTGGTGAACTTTTCATAGGACTGCTCAATGACAATACCATCTATCACCTGGCCAGTGTAGTATGGTAGGAATACTTCAGCTGGAGTAGTAACAGGAAATTGTCAAAATAAGTAACATATTAAGCAGAGTCAATGTCAATTAAACAATGATATTTACTAAAATCTTTAATCTTGAAATTTCTACACTTAGTGCAAAACAAAGCATCATGTCTCTGTAGAGCCCTCCTCTGTAGTGTTGCCCATATAAATCATAGATGATAAGAGCAGAGGGTAAATTCAAGGCTAGTTTCCAGTGAAGCTGGTTCAGCTCTGCCCTCCACCAGGGTGGCAGATTATATAGGGAAAGATGGAAAAATCCATAGCCAAATGACTGTCTATTTATCTAGAGACATATCTGTGAATATCCATGAAAAATCAATCTGGAAGAGGGTAGTTCAACTCAACTTGGTTACATCAATGGAAGTTGACCATCTGAAAACAATTATCCCACAAAAAAGGGGAAATCTTGGTTACATCAATGGAAGTTGACCATCTGAAAACAATTATCCACAAAAAAGGGGAAATCTTACCCTCTACCAGGGCCGCAGTTATTATTGTGGGCATTTTTGGCTGAATCAGACCAAAATGACTGTCTATTTATCTAGAAACATATCTGTGAATATCTGTGAAAAATAAATCTGTCGCCCTGGAAGAGGGTAGGCAAATCTAACCACTCAATAGTTATCCCTTACAAAACATCTGCCATTACATTGGTGAGCTTGAGGTAATCAGATGGCATTCTCAGGCGAGTTGTACCAAGTTTAAGGGTGCATTCACATCGAGAAGAGGAGGTCTACTAAGGCCACGACCTAAAAATGACGGACCTACATGAAAGGAAGACTGCCAATCCTGTAATATGGTCTCTCTACTGCAGGGACGACGTGTGGGAAGGATTAACAGGATTGGCGGTCTTCCTTTCATGTAGGTCCGCCATATTTAGGTCGTGGCCTTACTAGACCTCGGCTCTTCTCGATGTGAATGCTCCCTTTAGACCCATCTTCACAGAAAACAAGAATTAAATGGCTTGTACTTAAATTGCTGCTATATAATATGGCCATTGGGGGAATACACTTGTGGTGTGGTGTGGTGTGGACTAGTTTGGGTATAACATATGGCATGTCAAAATGCACCATCACCTGCTGATTATAAAACCTACCTCCAGCTGCACATAGCAGGAAAAAGAAGCCAGCCAAAATAAAAGGCCAGTCATCTTTGGACAGCTTCAGTAAGCGGAAAATGCTTGTAGTTCTTGAGGCTTTTTTCTTCTTTTTCTTATGTCGATTACCATTATGGTGCTCTTTCTCTTCATCCTCACTATCTTCACTTCCGCTACTAAGGGTAGTATTGGCATTTATAAGACCTTCTCTTTCACCAATAGTGGAATTGATCCCATGATACTTCTTCTTTGATATAACTTTCAGTTCTGCCACTTGCCACCATAGAACAAACATGAGAACGGATGCAATAAGTGTCCAACAGAACAATGCCCAGAACCAAGGTTTCCTCAAGTCAGAAACAGCATCCGAAAATAGCAACAATTTTATAATTTGACAGACCCATAAGATAACAGTAATAACTGCAATTACACGCACTACTTTTTTGGCTCGCTGTACCCCTTTCTTTGGATTGCACATTACCCCTATTGCCAGTCCAAGTAACAATGTTGCTCTTAAAATGCTGAGTGACCAAACATCAAATAATGATGTAAACACAGAGTAGGCATAAAACCCTTGGGTGAAGTGTTCTTTAAAACCAGTGCCATGTGAGTAAAGCACAGTGGTTACACACACGTCAACCACAGGAAAAATAACTGTTATAAACAGGAGACATTTGGCTTTCTTGCTGTTGAAAGACATTTTATACGCTTGGCTTGAATCTATTAATATGACTATACCCACAGTATGAATATCTGTCAATTAACACCCGTACCTGTGGTACAAGCTGTAAATGCACCTTATAAAACCAAACACAATTTTTACATTCAATGCACAGTGGGTCAAATAAACACTGGATTTACAGTAAATTCTGTATGAACATGTGGCAAAAAATAAAGAATGACAAGATTATTGTTACAAAAACTACACCTTAAATCAAACAAAAACATTCCAGCATGCAATATGACATCAACTAAACATAACTACTAGTACATGGATATCATTAAATACAATTAATAGATAAAATGGTCTTGAAAATACATCTAATACATTAATCTAGGTGACCAGCATCCTTAATGGTCACTTTTCGAGACAGTATAATTACTAGCACAATGGACAATATGACTACTAGGATAGCCACAATGTAAAAGGTTTCTTCATCAAAGATGTCTGTAAATGATGGCACAACTGAAAAGAAGCGCTTTGTAAGTTCTCGTGCTACATTTGGTTTTTTCAAATTCTTCATGATTGCAGAATCAGAAAGTTCGTTTTGTATGTCTTGTTGTTGTAACTTTATACTGTTTCAATAATTCCTGTGATATCTATCAGGCTCAATGTTAACAGGGTGTCCAGGATGATTTTCAAACACAAAATGGCATTCTGAAATAAGAAGATAAAAGTGTGAAATTGTGACTATTGTTAATGTGCATTAAAAACAAACAAACAAACAAATAAATAAAGCTTACAAAAGTATGGAGAAGTTGCGAGTATACTAGCCCCCCCCCCCCCAAAAAAAAAAATAATAATAAATAAAAGGTAAGTTTTAGTTTTGACCACAGCGCTTCAGGGGATTCTCACTAAATTGCAATCTACTTAAGCGGTTTAGATGTCTGTCACGCCTACTGAAGCTGCTAGGGGGTAATCAATTATTGTTAAGTAGCTTCAGTAGGTGTGCCAGACATCTAAGCCGCTTAAGACGAAAGCAATTTAGCAAGAAACCCTGCCCAGATGGATCAATCCTGTCAGTTGGATAGAGTATGGGAAGCCAGTCTTAGTTTCGTTACTGTATGCAGTGACAGACCACTAACTCAGCTCTACAGTAGAGTACTGATAAACATCGGTAATTCTAGACCATGGCTGACTTTAGATTTTCAGATATCTCATAACACAAATTGGGACAAAAGTCTTGCGTAGTTCAGTTGTCCACAATCAATGCTAGTGGACACTGGAATCCAAAACCAAGTTTAGGAGATTAAATTCCATGCTGACATCATACAAAGGCTCTCTGATCTGGACAGGGATAGTGCCATTGGCATAGTGTTACGTTTTGGGTTGACATACCGTAAGTGGCAACTTCCAGACAGAACTCTTGGTTATTGCTGGAAGTCTGACTGGCCAGCGTTACATAGATAAAGTCCTAAGGGCAGCTGTTGTGCCATTCATGGATCAACACCTTACCCTTCGCTTGCTCCAGCAACGTAACACCCATTCCCATACCGCTGGGGCGGATACAGAGATATTTTCTGACAGTCTTCCAAATTATCTTTGTTAATCCATCCTCAATTTTTGACTGTCTTCTGACAGAAAAAAATAGATACCCGTCAATGTAAACTTGAAAATCTGACCGTCTTCCGGAAGACCCAGAAGACGGCCTCAATCTGCCCCTGTACCGCCAGCAGGATAGTACAAGCATACCTGCAGCAGGGGCATATCCAGACTCTTCTACTTTAGACCTGACATGTGTCCTATTGAGCATCCCTGGGGTGAACTGGGTAGACCATTGACTTGGATAAACCAAAACCACCAGCTATAGAGTTAAGAGCTGTACTGGTAAAAGAATGGAGAAGGACAACTTAGGTCTGCACTCGAGGTCTCGTAAAGTCTATGAGGGGGAGGGCACTTGCCTGCATTGCAGTCAGAGGAGGGCATACACATTACAGAGCAATATACTACCCTTTAGGCTACATTATTGCATGAAAAAATATATTTAAACCATAGATCCCATTTCCATAGATTTTAGATCGATCTATCCCTGTGGGGAGTCTCACTAGATTACTGTCAGCTTAACCGGCTTAAGCGGCTGTCCCACCTACTGAAAGCTGTAAGGGGGTAATTAACTATGGTGCACGCTCGGCTGATGCAATTTAGTGTGAACCCCCAGGGAGTTAGGTCGATCTAAATCTAAGTCCCTGGATCGATCTAAATCTCTGGGAATACACCCATAGATATAACAAAACTTGTTTCTTTTTTTGGCCTAGTATATAATGTATAGTTATCTCACAAGCCCCATGTTGTTGCATATGACCCCCAAACTTGTCAAATTATAATAAGCTATCATAGAAACTCTTACCATTACCCTTGGTATAATTTTACATGTTTAATATACATCACTATCTAATGGTATAAAATTGGAAGGCACAAAGTTGATCTGCAGCATCTTTTTTTAATAAAATGTCTCATGGTTATGAAGGTGCAAAAAGCCCAGTCACTGGACACCACTAACAGGGGCTGTCTTCTGGGTCTTCAGGAGGACAGTCAAATATTCATATTTATACTGACAGGTATCTATTTTTTCTGTCGGAAGATGGTCAAAAATTGGAGAATGGATCAACAAAGCTAATTCAGAAGACTGTCAAAAAAATACCTCTGGATCTGCCCCTGACTAACACTATAAGACAGGCAGCAGTGTGACTGAAATGCGCAATACACCGCAATACAGTGCAATACACTTCAAAAATCAAATCCAGTTGCAATTACACAATGAAATGACCATTCCCAGCAAAGTATGGTGATATAAAAACAACCTATATTACTAGGTAAGTAATATCGTTGATATAACTTAACAAATCAGCAAGACTTTTATATTGTCTGGTTGGCAGCCATGTTGACCAGTGGCTCTTCTTGGATATATTACTGGCCAAGAAGAGCTACTCGCCAACATGGCGGCTGACCAAACAATGAAAAAATTGTCAAGTTGTATCAGCAATATTAATTACTATGTACTATATTTTGCTTTTATATCACCCTATTTTATTTGAGATTACCCTTTCCTGTGTTTACTTGCAACTGGACTTGTGTTATCAAGTGTATTGCACTTTGTTGCACTGTATTGCAGTGTATTGCGCATTTCAGTCACACCCGACAGGCAGCTTAATGCTATAAAAGAAATCGAAAAGTTTTTTTTTTGTTTAGTTGTTATTTGTGGGAATGAAAATATTTTCAAGATAAGAAATTGTGTGACAAGTTTGGGAAGAGTAATAAAACTAATATAAGTATTACATATCTCCCTTGCACAGCAACTCACCATAAATGCAGTGCATGCTATTAATAAAATCTGCAACTGTACAAATGTCACAATGCTCTAGGAGTCGTTCACTTTTCCACAGATAATGCTGTGCATGCACAGTTAACCCATTTCTGCTGGTCATGTGTGCAAGCCTTTTTATGGTAGCACCAGGGCGCTGTGTACTAGTAGGTGCCTTGCCTCTGTAGATACAGTACTGTATGTTGACTACTTGTAAAGAAACAGGATGCAGAAAGGACCCCAGGGTAAAGCACCAAGCATGCACATATCACTGGAAAAAGACACGCACACACGGCCAGTGAAAACTGGCTAACCGAGCAGACCAAAAAGTAAAAGATGGGATTGGTTAGCACCTAAAATTAATGTTACACTGCTGTCATACCCATACACGTACCTGTACATGTAGTACTAACGTACATGTAAGTATCAAACACCGTCAAAATAGCACCAGTAGCACACTTTTAAACCTACCAAGTTGTCTTTCCACTTAGAACTTAGTTTTTATAATTTTTTTTTCAATGAGAAATTGAGGTTGCAAAACGGCTGCGAAATTCCAAAGGCATCTACCTTTATCAGGATAGCATAATTTTATGATTGCACCGAATCTTGCAATCAATATTACAGCTATGTCGTAGGAGGCGTGCTTTACCAAGACATGCCAAAAGACACCAGGGGCCATATCCTCGGAACTTTTTGATAATTATTTATTCCGTCCTCAGATCGTCTTTAATATGTCAGGGAAATAATTTTTAAAGCAATGGTATTCTCCAGTCTATTCTCTACTTCTATGATCAAACCAATTACGGTTCTTTATGAAACTCTTCCTTCTCCAGAGGCAAGAAAGCATACCGAGAGGAAAGTTTTGAAGTTGGTTCGGCGTTGTGGACGGGCCGTTCTATGAGAATTTTTTACTTCTAGGTAAGATAAAGATTCATAGTGGATGTGCAAACTGGTCTTCATTTTACATTTTTTTTGACGACAATATCTTTTATGCGTTAGCACAGCCAGTACATATCAGAAATAGTACGTAGATCTTAACCTAAATTTAGGGACAGTCCGTCAACCGGGCACTTTGCCTTAGCAACCGGCAAATGGGGTAAAGCAGATAGGAAAACATGGCGGATTGCATTGACTAGTATGTAAATGTCGTCAGACCTTGTCTGACGACATCATATTTCACAGTGCTTGACCACTTGTGTCAGTGAGGTTGAGCTATATGCCTGGTTTATTTCCTTTCAAGGCCTTTATAATTATGGCTGCTGCGCACCTGATTAAGAGAAAGACAGCCTTAACTGCTGATCATTATCTGTGATCGGGAATCTTACCGCAGTAAATTACAAAGCCACTATGCCTACCTGGATGAGCCTTATATTCACCCCTCAAGTAGAACACTCTCAGGAAGCAATTGATTTTATCAAGGAAGGTGCCAATTGTACTAATTTCAGTTGACATTCCACTGCTGGCAAATGTGACAGGCAAGTTTTGGGCTGGGATACTAGTATAAAAGGGTTTATACTAGTTTATCTTTGACTCACTCATACACCAATGAAGGTGAAATTTTGCTGTGTACCAGATTGCACTGCCAACAGTGCTAAAAATCCATAAAGGAAAATTTGTGTTATTCCAAAAGATGAAGAAAGAAAGGAAAAATGGTTGCGAGCAATAGGTCATGCATATGTCACAGTTTTTTTTTCTGTACAGGAGTGATAGCTTGAGATGCCAGCCACCCAGATTACATCTGTTCAATATTCCCCCACAAAGAAAAGACTGATGACAAATCTGCTGTTATCTTGGGGCGTTATGCACGTGCTACAAATGTAAGTGGGGTATAACAACACGTGGGCTTTTTTAATAGATAAATTTATTCTTGGAAATAAAAATAAGGTTCAAATACACTAGGTATATATGCAATATTTCATAGGTTAACATATATCTATTCAAATTGAAAATCAAGGCAATTCTGTTTGGTCTACTTGTATTGTCCAGCATATGAGTTAGACTCCCTCTTAGGTGTATTATCAGTGGTTTTGGATTTCTACTTATGCAAATGTATTCCTGTTCTAGTATTTATCCGTTATGACTGTTATATTTGAATTATACCTGCATTTCTGTTGTGTTGTTACAAAGATCTATATCTATTAATCATATTATTACTTTGAAATACATAAGGCTATTTTTGATTTTAATATCAAATATACCCCATACTCCCTTCTGACTTGTGATGTTTTCTTTCAGTTATTGAGACAAGGCTAAGGAAGAGCTGTAAACAAGATCAGACAGAATGCTCACAGCCTCTAGATGAAGATGATACATTGTACCTCTTCTGTCCCCACAACCAGTACGTCCACTTCTGAAGAAGGTGAAGAAGGTACATGTATGTGAACGACACCATTGCCCAGATGTCACGAAGCTTAGAGTAAGTATATATATATATGGTTTGAGTTAAGTTGTTGTATTTTTCTACAGTGTGAATTTTTTTAAATCCAATTATTTTCACCAATACTACTGTTTCTTCAGGAATACCTGTCCAGGATGAGGCCAAGCCCATGGATAAGCCACTGTGGAAAGAGCAGAACTATACATAGAAATTGAAAATCTTACAAGAGAGAGAGAGATGATGCACATGCAAGGATCCAGAGTATGGACAAATTACTGACCCTTACTTCATTTACCACATCCTCTGTCAAAGGTAATGACAGTGCTTGCCAGTTGATGACTGGACTTTCATGGACAATGTTTATGCAGATTTTGACTTTAATAAGTGTGTTTTTACAGCCAGGATTGATAGGTTCAAGTCTACCCTTAAAAGAACAGCTGTTTTTGACACTTTTGAAGTTGCGTCATAATTAAACCTTAGGGTTTCTGGCACATGTGAAGGGTATACCACAATCAAAAGTCATTGACATTTTCTGGAGGTGGATGGATTTAATGTATAATAAGCTAGGTTTCATGATAAAATGAAGTGATAGGGATAGAATTTTCAGTGTTCAAAAGGAAATTCCCACACTTATAGACTGTTTTGAAGTCTTGATTGAATCCCCCAAAAACCTCCTAGCTCGTGCCCAGGTTTATAGCAATGACAAAAAACACACTGCAATGGGATTTTTTATTTCTTGCAATCTATGTGGTTCTGTTAACTTTATTTCCAAAGCTTGGGCCGACAGAGCTTCCAAAGTTAAAATTGTACGCAATTCAGAATTTAGCAGCAAATATCATCTGTTACAAGATGATTTTGCATCGAAGTGTAGTTCTCACCTTGAAACACAAGCATTTACTAAAGAGAAAAAGCAATTATGTGCTAGAGAAGTGGAAAAGCCAAGAAGTGTTTCCTCAGTTAGGATGCGTGTAGAAAGAGTGATTGGTTCATTAAAAATTAGGTTTACTATGTTAAAGGTCAGTACTGCTTCAGTGTGTACAGAGCATAAAAGATGAGAGTGAGGAAGCAGCTATATCAAGTGCTGATAAAATAATTATGTTGTGTTCTGTCCTATCCAATTTGGTGCCTGGCATTATATTTAACAAATAATGTGCACTTTGTCAACTTCTAGGATCTAGCAAGTGTAGGCCCAGGGTTGGTTTTTGTACAGTAGTTTACCGCTTCTCATTAAGGTCTGGTTTATGTGTGCACCACCATTTAGGGGTTCAGCAAGACATGCTTGTGTTGTAGGACTTTCATTTTACTTGTATTGTTCATATTCATATTATCATTACTGTAGAGTAAAATAAAGGGCAAACAGAAGCTTTATTTATACTTTTTCAATATTATTCAAGGTTACCTACTAAATTGCATCAGTCATTCTAATAAAGAGACTTGTAAATAAAATTGGCCATCAGCACCCATGTTTTAAAGATCAAACCTGTCTTTGTCTTTTATTGTTGCTTTTTGGTGTGCATTAGGAGACATATAGGATGACTGGTCTCTTAAAATGTTATTGTACCACCAGTGTAGGTGCTGGTGGTACATAACCTGCATGTTCCGCCGGCTCCGTCGCCAAGTCACCGTTACCGCTTCTCCTCCTAGACTACAAGATCCTGTGTACCCATCTCTTAGATTTAGGTCACATATAATCTCAACTCGATCCACGTAAATTTTGGGCTTTGTTGGTGCTGGGCTCTAGGTGTGGTGCACATCGCAAAATGCACCCTTGTCCAAAATTTGCCAAATTAAATGCTAAATGTTTCCCATACTAAAGGAATTATGGGAAAAATTTCTACAGATGGCTGACCAAAAGTCATGTGGAGATTTCAAATAGATTTTATAGGACATGTCAAGCGCAACACTGAAGGTGGTGTCCATTTTTTTGTCCACTAGTTAATCTGCTATTGTGAAGGTCTTAAGAGATTATTACAAAAAAAAAAAAACTTTTTAGGAAAAAAACCAGGGATTAACTTTGAATGTAGAAATGGATTCATTAACCATTGATAAGTATCACTGTATGGGGAAATTGCTGTTTACCCCACGAAATTCATTTTTTGGCCAAAATGAACAGTTGTTACCCTTTAATAATATACAATTTTAAGTTTAAGAGTTAAATATTGTCCATTAAGAATACTTAGAATAAATAATTTTTTATTCATTTTTCTAACAGATACATGACATGAATCAATAACCATGTTCACAAACAGCACTTTGAATCACGATTTGGGCCAAATTGTGATTCTACAGATATGAAGCCTTAAGTGTGATGGCAGTGGTGATGCCAGATGGCAATTCAAATAAATCCACCTAATGAGTATGATTCTATAGATGTAAACTTTTTACTGTAGTATAAAATCTCTAGTTGGGATGCAATTGTTTAGCATATGTGTAGTTTCCGGTATACATCTAGTCAAAAGTAAATGGAAACACAACATGTGGTCTCAAGTTTGTAAAATTTCAAGGGACATATTTTATACAGCAGCAAGAATATCAATTCAATTTCAATTTTCAATTTATTTCTGTACTGGTACATAGATTGTCATGACCTTGTACAATATGATATATTAATGAAAATACAATACAATTGGTGCATTACCATTTCTCTAATTGGTAATTATGTGAATGAAAAAATAATCTTTATATATGTACTAGTAAATTTACCCATAAAATATTCTATCTAAGCAGTGAAATAAACCTTGGTCTGATTACAAATTTACCATAAACATACTATAAACATATGGGCACAAGCATATGTTACACAAAAGGATATGTTCAAACTTTAAGATGCATACAAAGTCAATTTTTTGTCACAAAAACCGACCAAATGCCAGCATATAGTTTCAAGTAGTATAACTAAGAGAATTACCAAAGGCATTGTTTAATTTTACCTGAAAATTATGTTTGAACAGATTTTTCTGCTAGCATTCTATGCTGTATGTCAATGGGACAGAAAAGTAGGTCACGAAAGTAGGTTAAATTTCCGACCAAAAATTTAAAGAAAGGAGCAGTCTAAAGCTCTTTTATGGCTGATCGAGTGATCTATTCAGTTTATCCCTTGGCATGTCGAATTTATTTAAGTCGTATAAGAAACTAGTAGAAGTGGTTTACATGTGTTACTGGGAATCCACGCTCCACCGATGCTCGGTTCGTATGTACCTTTAAAGGAAGGGAGAACTACAGTTATATAGTTGTTTACATGGGTGTTTAAAGCCAGTTTGATGACATAGATAATTACAGTAAGGCTTCGTTCACATGGAATGTCTATTTTCTAAAAATCTATTTTCTATTCGCGCTATCTTATGATCACGGTCTGTGCCCTGAATATCCCGCCGCGTAATTACTGGCAGCGCGAGCCAGTTACTTTTAGTAACTTATAGTAACTGGCTCGCGCTGCCAGTAATTACGCCGTGGGATATTCAGGGCACAGACCGTGATCATAAGACATACCGCGAATAGAAAATAGAATTTAGAAAATAGACATTGCATGTGAATGAAGCCTTAATGACAATTACATAAGACATAGATAGCTAAATAAGTTACACAGATATAAATATTGTGCCATGTTCAGTCCCACTGCTGAGTCACTTCTCACAACAGTGGAACCATACACTGACATTTTAAGGGATATGCTAAGAGTTACCAAGCAGAGCAACCACTTCATTTCTTTTCTTGGATGATTTTATTAAAAAGTTGGAGGGGGATACTAAAATATCTTTGTTGGCACTGTTAAATACATGGCATAATTGACTGTCTGGTGACCTTGTATCAGCTTTTAGGATTGAGGTTTTTACTAAAAAAAGGTGACTCGGTCTGCTTTCTACATTGGGCATTGGAATATAAAATGATATTCATCTTCAATTACCCCTTGGGTGCACAGGCGACAGTGTTTGGCCTGGTGTGCCACCCAGTTTCGATGTGGAGTTTATGGTCACTAAGACGTAGTTTAGCAAGGGTTGACAAAGTGTCATAATTTGTTATTTTATCAACATAAGTTGCCCTTTCACACTTTTGGTTAAGTATACGGAAGAGAGAGTTTACTGTTGGCTTGAAGTTTGCTATTGCATATTTTGGGTAAAGTGGTCAGTTTGTCTTTGTTTGAAAATTGTGGTAAAGGCCAAATGTGAAAAAGAGTTTTCAGATCCCCTCAGACCATGACATACTGTGGGTGGAACATAAGGTGTTAGCAACTTGTAACTATTTATCTCATGTATGTATGCTTGTTTCATTAATGTATCATCAAACATTTGAATAATTTTACACCATAGTTTGATAGGTGCATATGCAATATCGTGATTATTGAAAGCAAAAGCAAAAGCATGATTGTTACTTGTATAGAGACTGGAAACAAATGCCCCTGTTCACCAGGACATACTGTGACTCCCCAAGCAAGCGTCAATAGAGTTGCCAGTGAGATCTGGCAAGGTGAATTGTGATTTTGTTTCTTGGTCTGTGAAGCCAAAAAAATGAATTTAGATACACGCATTAGAATTCCAATTACCATGCTGTGTGGGAATGGGACTTTTGTCACCAAAAATCAAATTCTAATTTATCACTTCCTGACAAACCTTTTGATAACAAATTGTTCATTGGCTAGAATTCGGAAGCTAAGGTCATTCAAATTAGTTAAAGACATGTTTGCTAGTTTTTGATAACAACTAGCCTCATCTTCTACAGCATTTTACAGAAAATGCTCTTTGCAAGCATTTCTTTGTGACTCCAGGCATATGGGGAACATTTGATGGCTTTTTGATGCCATTTTGATGCCATTATGATAATTTGTTATATTTCAATGTAAACCTTGAGTTGTGGCATATGTAAAAAGTTTTTAATCTGACTCATAAGATAGCAGTATGCGTTACAATACTCTGTATTGCTGTATGCCTGGATGGACACCAATATGGTTTTGAAAGTCATACTTCATTATTTTTTATCACCCATACCCTAGCTTGAACCTAAATCATTACAACTTTGCCCATGTTGGTCAGATATTATTTGTGCTAGCCTTGATATAATGGCTCAATGGAAGTCTGTTACATAGAGGAAATTTAGTCATGTACATGTGTCTGCCTGTATGCAGCTGATGTAATGTGTACAAGTATGAACATTTTCAAATAATAATAATATGATTTTCAATATGATAATAATATACACAATATATTTTTGACAGTGGCTATTTTACACTTTTTCAAGTAAAGGAATATTTTGAACTATTTGTGCATATAATTTTTACCTTGATTTATGATAAGGTGTTAATTAATGGCATCCGTGTATGAGCAGTATGTACCGGTTCATGTAATCTGATAATTTGAATTAGTATTGCATGTTTGTATAGATCTGTAAGGACACATAAATTGTAACAACTAAGATTGATTTTATCTGTGGATAGCTTTCATAAATATCAATATGGTAAGAGGATGAGTTTTGTTTTCACTTTGCAAATTAAATGTGGAAATATATTATTGTACCACCAGCGTAGGGGCTGGCGGTACACATGGTTTTAGTCCCGTCCGGATCGTTCCACCGGCTCTGCCGCCATGTTACCGTTACCGCTTCTCTTCCTAGACGGTAAGGGCCTGCGTGCCCATCTCTTGGATTTAGGTCACCTATAATCTCAACTCGTTCCACGTAAAATTTTGGCTTTGTCAGTGCTGAGGTCTAGGTGTGGCCCTCATTGCAATGCACCCTTGTCCAAAAATGGCAAAATTAAATGCTAATTATCTACCCTACTGAAGGAATTACGGGAAAAATTTCTACAGACTGCTGACCGAAAGTCATATGTGGAGATTTCAAATATACCCTTGAATTTGACCTTTGACCTTTATTTATGAAATAAAATTTTTTGCACTGATATTCAGAAACTACACAGACCTAACCTATAATATTATTGGAAGGTGTTACCCTTCAGGTCATCTTTCATCTCCGTGAGTTTGGGGTCAATCAGTGCATTTTCCCGGGAGTAGCAGCCATAAGATACCGAAACTGAAAACTGTCTCTAATTCGGGAACCGTTAATGTTAGAGACCTATTCTTTTTTGCATTTTGTAGAGCATGTCAAGCCCAACACTGTACGTGGTCTTCGTTTTTTTTTATTTCCATACTGTTTACGAGTTGTGCTGTATCAAAAATTGTGGTGGTAAAAGCAAAATGTGCAATACGGATAATGTATAATAAATTTTGAACCCCTGGAAAATTAAACATAAGACTTGGCGAGGCAGACAACTTCTGGTCAAAAATGACATTATTTTATGAAATTTGAATATCTGGAACTTCTGAGCACCTCCCATTTCAAGAATTTCAACCGAAATGACCTTTTCTTTATTTCAATTAATTTTTTTACAGGAAATTTATAGCACATTATGGTAACTCCAAAATTGTAACATTGATTCCTTTATATCTCCAAAACTGGCAAAGATAGGTCCATAGTTACTATTGAAATTGAATAGGAAGTCATATACTGGCTATCTAACTGTGACCCTGAAATTGACCTTTGACCTAATTTTCATGATGAACTGAACTTTGCAAATTTTCCTTCCCTTTTGTCTCCAAAACTGGCAGAGATAGGTCCATATATAGTTACTATTTAAGTTAAACAGGAAATCATATACTGGCAATCTAACTGTGACCTTAAAATTGACCTTTGACCTACTTTTAACCATAAAATGAACTTTGCAACTTTTTTAATGCTTATACTTTCAAAACTGGCAGAGATAGGTCCATAGTTACTATTGAAGTTAAATAGGAAGTCATGTAATGGCTATCTAACTGTGACCTTAAAATTGACCTTTGACCTACTTTTCACCATAAACTGCTTTTTGCAAATTTTCTGATCTTTATATCTCGAAAACTGGCAAAGATAAACCCATAGTTACTGTTGAACTTGATTAGGAAGTCATATATACTTGCAATCTAACTGTGACCCTGAAATTTGACCTTATTTTATGATGAACTGCATTTTGCATGTTTTCTGGCCCTTTAAATCTCCAAAATTGGCAAAGAAATGCCCATGATTACTATTGACCTTCAATAGGAAGTCATATACTGCAACATTGAAATTGACCTTTGACCTACTTTTTCACCATGAACTGAGCTTTGCATATTTTCTTGTACCTCATATCTTCAAAACTAGCAGAGATATGCCCAGTGTTGCCCCTAGGTTTTTTCTTTTGTCAGCATATTTGCAGCACTGACAACACATTTCAAGGAAAACAAATAGGTCTATTGTCTAGAGAATTACAGGAGTGATCAATGTTAGGAAAATACAGGTCAATTCGAAAATCTGCTTGATTGTACCATTTTTAGTTAAATTTTTTTGCATATTTTGAGAACTCTTGTTGATTGCATTTTATAGAGCTTGTCAAGCACAAGACTGGTGGTGGTGTCCCTTTTTTGGGGGGTTTTCCATACGAATGCGCTTACTCCAGCTGGTGGTACTATATCCGGAGGCGGTATCGCCTCTCTGATCCGCTAGTTTATATATGTTGATTTTAACACTCTTATTAAATGCAAAGAATCAATGTTTTATTTTCCATCTTAAATCAGAGGACTTTTATAGTGCTTTAGTGATGATACATCTAAGATCAGTCTGATCTTAGTACTGGATGTTTGTATAGATCTGTAAGTATGTAAAAGCTAAGATTGATTTTGTACTGCAATGTACTAGTATACTTTTATTGAATAGTAAGTATTGTCTATCAAAGGAATATGCACTTGACAAATCTCTATCAGAATGTCAAGAGAAAAGATCTTAATTTCAAAGCAGATAAAAGGATCACAGAAGTAGTTGCTGATAGCTGTTATCAGTTGTTGACATATTGACGGAAAAACTGTTTCTGCCTTAATGCAGTTTGGTAATATAAGTGAGACAAGAGTTTTAAGCTATACTTTGGGATGTCTTTTCCATATTGCGGTTTATGTCCCTAAGACATGCGCTGATGCTATATAGGATTAAGAGTCATCTAGGTCTTGACCTAATGGGAATTCTATATGATATATGTCCAAAAGAAAATACGGAAAGGACGTCAGGTAATAAATGTACAATAAATAATGTTACTGTACTAGTAGTGAAAAACAGATAAATAGGCAGCCCCACTCCTTTGGTTTATATGGTTATGAATACAGCTAATTGTGTTTTGTCATGTGAATTTATCTGCAGATTGTCAAATGGGGTTTATGGGTATATTTATTTGTAGAACACTGCTGACATTAATTTGACACTTTGGGTAAATGATTTTGAAAGAGTAATTACTTATGATCCCAAAGCTTTATGAGCTTGTGCATGTCAGTATACTTTAGGTATCAGGTAAGTCTTGAAAGCCTAAATTACGTTTCGCTGTTCATCAATACAAATGAGAACTATCAGAAGAGTTCACTCATTCTTTCAGATTCAGATGTATAGAGAGCATGTGTACTGTACCTGTTATTAATGTCATGTTTGTGAGGTAAAAAATTTAAAAAATAGTAGAATGAGAGTATCTGCATAATATGTGCAGTGTATGTTTAGTGCAGCATGTGGAAATTAAGGAGTTACTGTTGCTATAGAGACATTTGATTTAATTTCTATGTTTTGACTTCAGGGGTAACTGCTTCACTGTATCAACACTATGACAATGTCCCTGGGAATTGTGCCAAATAAACACAATGGAGCTCTTGACTTCCTCCTAACTGATAATACTATGTTTGGGACAAGGCATGACATGAATACTTACAACATTCCTCAGATTATCGTTCAAAATGCAGAGGTAAAGTATATGTAACTGGGGCCTATTTCACAACAACAAAAAAAAAAAATAAATAAATAAATAAATAAATAAATAAATAAAGTCCATTCCTGATAAGGATATAGCAGACTTAGCCAGGGACAAGTTTCACCAAAGATTTCCACGAGTCAAAATTGGTATTAATTTTGAAATCAAATCTTTCTGTCCATTTTGATGCAAGCTCAATCATGAGTAGTCTACTTAAATGAGAATTTATACCTTCAAATTAATTACCTCCACCAAGGAGGTTATGTTTTCATCCCTGTTTGTCTATCTGTTTGTTTGTCATCAACATAACTCAAAAAGTTATAGACCGATTTTGATGAAATTTTTAGGGTAGGTCAGAAGTAGGCCAAGAAAGAGATTTTTTTTTTTTGGTGGTGATCCGGATCAATAATCAATCAATAATCAAAAATCAATCATCAACATAACTTTAAAAGTTATGTCCAGATTTTGATGAAATTTTCAGGGTAGATCAGAAATGGGTTAACTTAGAAGTGATTAGTTTTTGGTGGTGATCCGGATCACTAATCGATCAATAATCATTAATCATTAATCAAAAATCAATCATCAACATTACTTCAAAAGTTATGGACCGATTTTGATGAAATTTTCAGGGTAGGTCAGAAATGGGTTAACTTAGAAGTGATTATTTTTGGTGGTGATCCAGATCAATAATCAATAATAATCAAAAACCACTGCCTTGGCGGAGGTCTGCGCTCTCGGAGTACTTTTCTAGTTAAGAAGTATGTAAAGATTATAATAATACAAGATATATGTTGTAGATAGATAGTTAATTACTTCCGCCAAGGAGGTTATGTTTTCACCCCTGCCTGTCTGTCTGTTTGTTTGTTTGTCATCGACATAACTAAGGAAGTTATGGACTGATTTTGATGAAATTTTTAAGGGTAGGTGGGAAATGGGTTAACATACAAGTGATTAGTTTTTGGTGGTGATTCGGATCAATAATCAATCAATAATCAATAATGATCAATAATCGCTGCCTTGGCTGACGTCTGCACTTTCATTGAAAAACTGGATCAGGTACTACATTATTATCATTCATGTGTTAGGTCTGAAAGTCAAGATCAGCAACTTTCCACTTTGTTCTGATGAATTGTGTTTCATAAAGATTTTTTTAGGGGGGGGGGGCAGCTTGAAACAAAGCCATTAAAATTAAATTCTAGGCATCTTTAGTCTGAATTTTTCTCACAGTGGTAATGGCAACCGTTTTAAGACGTACCAATTTGTCAACCACTGGTTTGTGAAAAAAACATTCTCAGACCAATAGCCAAAAATTACCCTTACACCGTCAGTTATCCAAATTTAGCTGATATTAAAGCTAAGCCCAAAATTTAGTAGTTTTATAAGGAGAATTCTGGGCCTCATATTTTTTACATGATATAAAATAGTGTCACAGTGGTTGATATATATCAAACTGCAATTTTAAAAGCATATGCATTTATTGTACAAAGCTATCAACTATTTTGTATCATCCTGATAAATGACAGCTTTGGAGTCTTTTGAGTCTTGTTAGATAGTATTTTGTTATGTAAAAATTCTAAAAGAATTCCACTCACAAACCTGTGTGTGTGTGTGTGTGTGTGTGATGCATTTCATGAGTGGACTTGGAGATGGCTATATAATTTTTGAGGATTAAAAGAGGGACTTATGTCAAGCACTCTTTTGTCACAAACTGAACAAAAACTTATCATTTCCATGGAATAATTGGACATGCCAAGGGAAATATTTCACTTTAGTGATAATTTTTATTGTAGTTTGTGACAAAAGAGCTTTCAATCTCTGTCACCTACCAAACTGATGAAATGTTGAAATATAAAAGAGAAACTGTTGTCTATAAATAGTGTTCTAGGATATGTGTGACTTCTGTACCTGTCTGCACATGGTCAGTTGGGCTGGAATTCAGTATGCATTGTGGTAGAGGAGATGAAGTCNGCTGATGAATATTCATATTACGCAGGTTAAGTTCGAAAATCAGCATGATCGGGTCATTTTTAGAGAAGTAATGCTGTTTTTTCACTTTTTTCAGCATGTATGCAACACCTTTGTGCTATATGATGGTACTGTATTTTCAATTGGCCATTAAATGAGATTACATAAACACACGTTTGAGATTTCCCTGTAAAGTCCCATAGGTTTAGCTCTCTTAACTGTGTCACATAATTAGGATTTGGTGATAATTATGCAGATAAATGGTGTTTAATATTGCAAATAAATTTACAACAAAAAATGTGTTATGCCAACATGCAATAGATGAATAACAGTGCCTTATTTTTCTCAAACTTGGTGGGGTTATTCATATCAAGTTAAAACAGCTAGATTAAAAGTTTGAATAGCAGCTTTATTGGAATTTTTTACGTTTTATTTAAAATCTTTTTAAAATTATTTTTCAAACACTAGCATCTTCAAGGTGTGATTTTTAACTCCCATCCACCAGAAGTGCTGTGCATTTTCTGTATTTCCACATGAGCAATTGTATTGGTTTTTTATGTCTTTAAACATTATGTAATATTATTTTATACACTGTTATCATTTTTCACATATTGTGATTTCCATTATGTGAATTTGAACTCTTGTGGTCCTGAAACTGTAATCTTATTTCAGGGGCGGAATGAGACTGTCTTCTGGGCCTTCTGGAAGATGGTCAGATTTTAATGTTTACATTGACGGGTATCTATTTTTTCTGTTGGAATACCATCAAAAATGGAGGATGGATTAACAAAGATAATTTGGAATACTGTCAGAAAATATCTCTCCTGTTCTCTCCTGTAATTGACCATGTTATCTGTTGTTCATGATTAAAATTCAGTGTTGATTGACAGCATTATTTATTATTGCATCAAAATTGACAAAATTACCTATTTTTTACATATTTATTTTCTGTTTTTTGTCTGTACATTTGACAGCTTTGCTGCCTTGTTGTTTTCCACTTCATATTTCCAATGTAACGTTTTTTTTTCTTTTTCTTTTTTCAGAGACCATTTCATGAGTGAAAAAAATAAATTGAGCCTTCAAGTGCAAAACTTAACAGCAGACCTTGAACAGGCTCGAGACTTGGTGGCAGTTAAAAACAAAGAAAACTTGAAGATGCATGAGGAACATCTCAGTCTCCAGGAAAAGTTAAGTGAGGCTAAGAGTCAGCTGAGGGAGCTGCAGGACCAGGTGCTAGTGGAAGCCGACCTCAGGAAAAAGCTGGACAAAAGGTAATGAATACATGATCAAAACTGTGAGGTATGGCAATACTGTAGGTATTCCGTTATTTGTTGTTTCATAAGCTTGTTGTGCATGCATGCACTCTCACACATACAAAAAAATGATAATTACTTTGATGGCTGTGTCAAATAAGTAAGTTTTCCATATTTCTTTGCATTTCATCTTTTGAAATATCAAAAGGATTCCTAACTTACTACAGGAAATGTGCACTTTCCTTGCTGTGGACATGAATTAACTTCATTTAGCAAAATTTCTAAGAAACACATCATTGTATTATTGAAAATATTTAAACATTGATATTACATCTATTAATTTATTTTCAGGAACAATGACTTGGAGGATGATCTTATGAAACTACAACTTGTTGTTGGAAAGTTAGATCAAGATGGTGAAGATACCAAAGACAGCAAAACTGATGACAATATTAAGTAAGCACTATCACCTATGCCACACATAATATGTTTTGAGTATTTAGGTAACATTGGTCCCATACATACCCTTGAACAGGGGCAATTCCACAAATTCATCACTGTGTTTAGGTTTGAAGGTGCATATGCTCTGATGTAAAATGGTAAATGCGCACCCTTGTTATATTTATTAGCCAGACTGCATGATATCAATGCCAAAGCCCACATATTTTGTGATGTAATTTAAACAACTTTTCCATAAACACCCATGTATGCCCTATTCAAATACCTATGAAAAATACTATGCAATATATATGATTTTCTTTTCTGAGAGCACAGTTTGATACATGTATCTAGGCAACATTTCTTTCAGTTCAATGAATACAATTGGGTTTATGTACTGCAGCTCTTTCAAAATGTGATCAAGAGTAGCCTGACTGTGACACAACTCACTGTCCACTTCCTTAAGAAAACTTTAAAAATAACTAGTGTTCAATTAAATCCTGCTTGAATATAACAAGTCATTTACAAGTATACTTTTTGTTGCACTTTCTAGGGCAGAAATTATCAGAATGCTGCAAGAGCTTAGCTTACAGCTGCACCTCCAACAAGAAACTAGAGGCCATAACAGTGACAATGCAAAAGAAATGCAGCTGCTAGAAATGTACAAGAACAAGGTAAAATCTATAGACAGATGGATATTAACATTTTATGACACCATGATAAATGCACATATGATAATGGTATAATTATAGTATTTATATTTGGTTTTCTTTTTGCCCCACAAAGTTGTTACTGTTAAATCTGGAAGGTACATATACAGTTTTACTGTAGATTTGCTAGACTCATCTAATATGTCATTTATGGGCCTGCGGTCAGGTGTGAAGTGAAGGTTAGTTGAGTAATTTTTACAGCAGTTGTTTATTTATTTTTTAATCTGGAATTTGTTGTGATTTTGTTAACTTTTTGCATTTAGATTGATGGTTTTGAAATGGAGCTGTCTAGTGAGAGGGCCATGCACTCCCTTACCAAGACACAGCTCCGCTCTCTGGAGGAAGACAATCAGAGACTTAGGATTCAGATGGCACAAATCAAAAAGATGAGGAATACCCATACTGACAAGTAAGTTTATGCCTAACAGCCATTGCAGTTGGAATAAAAGGTATAGCAAAACTGGGGAGGATTGGTGGATTGGAGAGTGGGAGGGGTCAAATTGCTCTGCCATTTTTTCAGTAATTTGGATCCATCTTGTCATACGTTTGTTTTTCATAATGTATAAATATGTTATCAGGATGGGGTATTAAATTTCTGTCTCCTCTAATGAAACTCACAAATAGTCAAAAACATTTTTGAAGGAGTGTTTTTGATACCCATCAATTTTTGGGCATAAAATCTTTAACTTTGGAATATGCAATTTTACATGCTTTGCTTTGTAACCTGAAATACCTGAACAGTTGTATGTAGGAGATTTTTCTATGAACCCCTTTTTGAAGTCAGTATGTACTGTAAGCTATATGAAAAAGTCAAACACTTTAAAATGTGTCACAGCATTTTATCTAACAATACCTTCTTTTCTCTTGAGATCAAATAAAACTCACCTTGAAGAAATCAACGACATCATTGCAAGGTCACAAACAAGAGCCAAAGCGATGTTTCCAACAGGAGAATTTAATCTCAGTATGACGGGCATAGATGGAGAAAATGCAGCAATGGCTGGCACTCTTCAGGGATTGGATTATTCGCTAAAAATGAATGAATTTGACAGGATTCGGAGCCCCTTAAACAGTGGTGTGATGGTGGAAACATCACCAGGCAACATGTATGAATGAAATAAGACTTGACATGAGACTCATTCGATAAATACTTAATACTTGCAAGACTGTACTCCAGCAGGTGCCCAATAATGGCTGACTTTTCCCTTGAATTGCATCCATTTCACACTCATTACTCATTCCAGACACTTAAAATATGCATTACATACATCCTCACTCATTTTGTCATCTTTTTAATGGTTCAAAATTTATTCATATTTTTTGATACAATAACTGATATTTTTGCCTTTTGCATAGATGTTTGAATGCTGTTGACTGCTTTTATTTCTGATATATCAAGTCAAACAAATGCATTTATGATATTGTCTTTTTCCTTTTTATTAAATCTTATCATAGAGATGCAAATTTTGAAATCAGGTTGGGAAAGCAGGGTGTCATATAATTTATCTTTTGTGACAAGATACAAAAATATTATCTTGAGAATTGTACATTTTGTGAAGGACAATGTTGTTGACAAAAGGTGTCACATTGATATTCTAAAAAAAAAAGTTATGTTGGTGTGGTATTTTGTTTAAAACTAGCAATAATTTTTTCCACAATATGATGTAGCCTAAAAAGCTAGGAAAGGAACAGGTTTTACTTCCCTTATCTTGTTATTAAATACTCAGTACTTTTGTAATTTTTCCATTGTACATATACACAATTTCACAGCAAATGTAAAAAGCAGAATTAAAACTTTATAAGAAAACAACTTAAATTTCTTTTCTCTTTTCATCCTGTCAAGTTGGGCAAAGCTTTCTCAAAAAGAAAGTTAAAATTTGTGGTCATTTTGCTCTAAAGAACCCATAAAACAAAGAAGTGGCATAGCCATTTTCTTTTTTACTATCAAGAGATAATGGACAAAAGCCATGGGGCCTTGTAACTTTTTCATTCAGCATGGGTTCACTGAGGTAGAAACTTGTAGAAAGTGAACTGCCATAAATTGACTATAAAGTACTTGTAAACTGCTGAGCTTTCAAACTTTGATTAGCATATAAACAGAGTTAATGGATATTAACCTCAAAACTAACTTAAGTGTATCTTATGAAAATAAATGTTCCTTGTACTAGGAGGGTTATGCTGGTTTGCACAGTAAATCCAACACCATGTGATCAACGTGTGGCGCATAAGACTTGACATGCTCTAAGTGAAGTATCTCTGTTTTCCACTGACCTCCATGTGTTTTATGTAAAATGTCTCTGATCTGACCAGCTGTCGTTACAGCCCATGTTTTCCACTGGGGTAATAACTTTTTATTACAAGTTACTGCTGTATCACTTGTCTGGTTTGAAGTAGCTCTTTCATCATAATGGTAACCACTGTGCTGTTTAACATGCTCTCCTGTCAAACTTTTTCCTAAATGTTTAGAGCCACAATGGCATGTGACTGGAACAGACATTCCTGTTAAGCTGGGACACCCAGTGTCTTGTGCTGTGTTCACAGAATTACACTCGTTACTTTGATCATTGTTCTGAAGAGTGTTCTCCATTGATTTGGTATCTTCACACCAGTGTAATCCACCAGCAAGTTGAGAAATACCAAAACATGTTTCACTTTTAGTCTTATTGCAAGGGCAGACCCCTCTTGAATCACATTGAGACCGTTGCAACTGAAGATGCTCTAGTGATGATGTTTCATTAAAGTCACCATTTCCATGTTCTCTAACAAGATTAGCTGTCTCTTTTCTAGAATCATTCCTGTGTTCAGGAGTCTTGGTTTCAACATTGTAGTGTATATGTAGTATTCCTCCTGACTGTGACTTCAGTGCTGCACATGCTACTGGCCACCCCTCCTCTGAGCTGGGAATCAACCCAAGGTTTACCCTGTCTGCAACACCCTTAGGACATACCTTGAACAACAGCAGATATAAAAGTATGAGGTGATTGCAAATAAACTCCTGAAAACATGTTTATCTAGGCTCACGTTTGTATTTGCTTTTCAGTCAAGACTACCTTATAAAAAATACCATTCCATAAAAAGTTTTAATCTACGATCAATTGTCGAACAAAATAAATACTTAACTTAAATAAAAAACATCTTTGTCATATTATTCACACATTAACAATGTATTTAAATCTATTACTACACTTTCAACAAAAAAATATTGCCTACTAGTCTGTTGTCTCCCTGATGAACAATACACCTCTCTGCCACTCCATTCAGATGTAGGTTCTTCCTCAATGCATCTGCTGCATCTGGATTCCACTCACAGGCATGAACCAGTCTGGCCTTGGCATGGATCAAGTATGGCAAAGTGAAGTATCCTGTGCCTGAAAGTAATAAATTATTACTTTCATTGGTAAGTGTGACTGTTTTCTTCAAATCCTTGAAAAGTTGCTGGAGTGATGATCTATATATATATATATCGGAGCTTAGCTGAGACTTTAGAAGGAAGGCAACAGCAAACAACTGCAAACAGCAAAATTATAACTGTTAAATTACAACAACTTCACAGTGCTTGTGTAGGTTATAACCAATGTGTGTAAATAGTTTAATGGCTAAATTAAAAGAAAGATTAATCTATTTTATTTTCTAATTGGAAAGACTTTATCATTTCTGAAAACCTCATGGTATATCCTTGGTAAAATCATTGTTTTCCCTCACATCTAAAAATCTTCTCAATTGCCCAAAAAGCTTTACCTGCATATAAATCCACAACAGTCTCTCCCTCACAGTGGAAGTGAGCCACTCTTAGTTTCTCTGTAATGTTTCCTGCACTAAACATACACCTGGTAACATCATAGCTGTACCTGGAAACAACAGTCCCACAAGAAATTATGATTCACGTAGCGAATAAATACAAACAGGGTATACAGACTTCAACTGTAACTTTCTTTTACACCCTTTTATCAAATTTAAATTTCCTGATATTCAGCCACTTCATGACATTTGCTGCTTGTACAGCAATCTTAAGGAGTACAAACTGTGTTACTGTGTGAAATTATATTTATTTCCCTCTAAAGAAAGAAATCCAAAAATAATGACATCTCACTTGATTTGATTGTCAATGTGAGTGACCCATCCATCCTTTCCAAGCAGCAGTTCTACCTGTGGAGTCCGGAAACCATCTTGGGATATAACTGACTTCTTAGCAAGTCTTTTGGCACCAAGGATTCTTGCCACAGTCTCCCACAACTGTGGACCTGAAATCAAATACACTGACCATTACCCTATGTACAAACATAATTGTTACGTGCTGGTATGGATTTTTCACATCCAGATACCAAATATAAATATTTGATGTTTTATCTAAATTGTTTAAAAAAAAACAATTAATTTGTAAATATATTCACTTTGAGGAAAAGTTCAAAGAAACATTGCTAACATAATATGACACACTTATATTTAGGAATTCTTTACCACAATGTCTCCAAAAATCATTTTTGAAACAATGATCTGGCAGAACCACCATGTCTCCATGCTTTTCCCAGTGTTTAGGAATATCATCTTCCCATGTTTCACCATCTCTAACCCCAGCAGTCTTCTTTTCACTATTCACTATTTCCAATAGATTGCCTAATGTTTCCCTGAGCTGCTCCTGAGGTGGCTTTAACAAGTCCTTTTTTGAAGGTGAAAGATTGATTACATCAAGAGTGTACTCAATAGTCGCTGGTAGGGCCCCTGTGGTAAGGGTTAGCATCTTGTAAGCTTCACTGGTAATGGGAATGGCCACCAGATCTTTGTTAATCTTTTTCAGACTATAACGGCTGTCCCATAATCTGCCAATTTCCAAATGTTTCCTTTAAGAAAAATAAAATAAATCAATAAAGGATAACTACCCCCCCTCCAAAAAATATGTAGTAATTTTGTTGAATGTTAATTTCATAATTAAATTATTTTAAGTAATGGAGAAACAAGACTGACTGTTTAGAGCAGGTGATATAGACTGTGAGATGTGAACCCTGCTTTTTTTCCGTGCGATAGTTATGGCAAGGAAGCAAGAAAGGTCTCTGTTTCGGATTTACAAAGTAATTTTCATGTCATAAGTTAGCCACACAAACAAAGTCAAGAGCATCATAATTTGAAATAATTTCACGGGTAAAAAGCTAATAAACAAATGAAATATAACAGTGTCTTTCAGTCACCACCTGTCCTTTCAACTAAGGTCGTCACATACCTCACAGTTTGTGCAGATGTCTTTGGAATAATAACAACAGGTACACCTGTGGGCGCTGACATATTGGATCTCGCGAGATTCTCTTGCTAGAGCGCCATCTATCACAGTTTAGGTTAACGTTCCTCACGAAGTGCTTTGTTTTCACGTTGGTTTGTGCTATCTTTGACTTAAGATCCCTAAAATGTCAAGCCAGGTTCAAGCCCTCCAGAAACAAGTTGAGCAGCTTCGACATGAAGCTTCTATACGCCGCATTCCTGTGTCTCAAGCCATTCAAGAGTAAGTGAATATTTTGCCTAGATCAGATACCGATCGATTCGACTGAGTCAGTATGAGAACATCTTCAGCTAGACAGACAGGCATCAAATTTTGATAATTAAAAACACAGAGTTTCATTGGACTCCGGAGAATTAACCATTATCCACTTGAAGACTATAACAAACATAGATTTCATATATGACGTAATTTCAAAGTGTTGCAGTAGAACCTCAAAGGAGGTTTTTAAAATTAATGCTTTGAATTTTAATTTAAAGGAGCTGGATGGGTCTGGTGCCGTTTGTAAATGCATGGGGGTATTTTCCTTTATCTAAGCCTTCCACAGAATCTGGGAATAGTAAGGTGATAGTTAATATTCAGTGTGAATACAATTCAATGAGGAACAGCGATGACATAAGGGGTCACCCCCTCCCCCATTCTTAAAAATGTTGCATGGACTGCAAACAGCATAGTTACTTGGGTTCAGTGGCCATTTGATTCTGTTCTGTTGTGGTCTTGTGATTATAAACATTTGTTTAATTAGTTGATGAATTTAAAAACTGCATTAAGTTATCTTTATAATTGTCATAATAGGTTACTGTAATACAAAAAATAATAAATAGAGAAATAAATAAACTATAAAATAAAATAAAGATAAATAGAAATTAGTTATTCATTGTATATTTAACAAGTCTGTTAAATATGCCATACATCATGATAAATTTATACATATAAGTGCAGGTTGTGAAACACCAATACCACCCTCACAAGATAAAGATTGAAAATTAAAAAAAAAAGATCCAAGGAAAATGTGTTCTTATAAGCCCATCTTCTCTTGATGATGTACATCCTTCCTTTGAAACTTGCAAGTCATGGATTTCAGTCACAAAATTTGAAAAGGCAAAGCTTGTATTAATGATGCTTGCTGATATTCTACAGTCAACTTTTTGTACAGTATGGAAAGATTTAAGCAATAGGACAACATTTTCAATGATAAGCACAAATAAAATTTTCTTCTCTCAAAGCAGCACATGTGAAATAGGTTAACAGGATGAGTAAGGCATTCTGATTATGGAACAATTGAGTCACACCACACCAGGTCATTCCAAAAAACATTATGAAAATTGCACCCATAATCTCTTTGCTAAGCACACAGAATATAGAAGAAAAGCACTAAAGACACAGAAATGGTAGTTCTGGTAATAGTACTTGGAAGATTCTCAGTGTTGCATACATGTGGCAGCTTTAGGTTACTTGCTCCTTGGGGAGATGAAAGTATTTCCAAATTGAACAGGCACAAAGCTGGTTAATTTTGGTCATGGAGGGTATCCGTTTATAAACTG